TTCTCAAAGTAACTGTGTGATGACTGTGCTGAAGTGTGTGAAAAACGGTTCACACTTGAGTTTTCAAAATGGTGAACCTAAACTTTGACTTTATTGATTTTTGGTTGACCTAGAGAGATCTTCCTGTAGAAGTTGAAACGATGAAACTTCATATCTGAGTATTCAATGTGTTTCACCAGTTATATCAATTCCACAGATTTTGATACGGGAGGTGAATCGGAAAATAAAATATGTCAAAATATGCTATCGAATAACTAACACCCTATATGAGATTGATGATGCTCGCAAATTGAAAACTCTGGAAGAGTATTCAGCAGAGAATAAGTTGACCGTCAACACTCAAAAAACAAAAATTATGGTGTTCTGCAGGGGTGGGTACCATTTCAATTACAATAACAAATTTTATCTCTACACAAACACTTTAAACACTTTAATGAACCATTGGAAGTTGTAAAAAAGTATTCCTATCTTGGGGTGATATTTTCTTCTTCTACTTGTTTTCTCGAAATGTCTAAGGATACCGTAACTAAATCAAATCGTGCTATCGGGGCTGTTATGAATATAATGTGCAGATCTAAGATCAACTCATGGCACGCTAGAATTAAATTGTTTGAATCCATAATTGTGTCATCCCTTGCATATTCCATTGGAATTTGGGGACTTCGTTATGTTGACGTTATAGAACGGATTCAAGTTAATTTTTTCAAACGTTTACTGTCACTCCCTAAATATAATCCAGACTATATCGTTCGTCTGGAAACTTCCTCATTAAAACTTTCTCATCTGATTTTCACTGCTGCTCTTTGACATTTTGCACTTCTCAACTCAATGGACAACCATCGACTACCAAAGCTCTGTTTTTTAAGATTGCTCAGACTCGATAACGTTGATCCTAAATACAACTGGGTGTTGCAGGTCAAACAATATTTCTCTTTTGCCGGAATGGTCGATCGTTGGCAACAGTTTCTGCACAATAGTTCCAAGAAAGCTATAACTCCTCTTCTACATATATTCAACAATAAACTTTCAAGCATTGATTTGGAGAGTTTGAGTCAATCTTCCTATCCTCTCATTTATAAAAGTCTCTCTCTACGGGTAAATGTTCAAAATTACCTCAAAGCGCCCGTTCCCATCTAAACTACTCAACACTAATTTCGTCGCACACCAAAATGTCGCCCCTGTTATAATGTGAATTACTTTTTTCAGTTTAGAACAATTTGAATTTGGTTCACACTGTTCGATAGCCCAGTCCTTCAGGTATAATCTCGTATTTCATTGAAACATAAGGGTACTCACATAAAATCTCTACATGGTGTTTTCCGACACTGTGCAAAATTTCGGAATATTCAAAAGGCTCTCAAATGATGAAAAAAATTTTTTTCTCAACTTCGACAACAGAGGCATGAAGATGATCTCATTACCTCGAGATATTTCGCGAATCAACTTCATATCTCTCTTATTCACAGAGTGATCTCAAAAAATCAACTTTTTGGTTTAGCAGCCATAACTTTTTTCCACGTCAACCGATTTTGGAAATCTTAGCATCATTTTGAAAATAAAACTTCAGATGAAGAGATCTGGATATCAGAATTGACTCAAGATGGCTATCAAAGATCTGGAGTTTTCTTGAAAGTGACCCAAATCTGGAACGCCCTCCGAATCTCGGTTGGGAGGAGAATTGAATGAAAATCAACTTGTTCTCGGAAGAACAATTCGTTCTGGATGCGTCCATATTTTCCTCGCTCTCAGAAGTCAAGAATTGTGCATGAGAAAACACAATTGAAACATGTTCTTGCAAAAACATTAGATCATTTCTCCTCTGTAATGCATGGCCCGCCGTAACCAACGTTACAAGAGTCACAATGAGTGACTGACAAACTCGACCAGCTGAGGCTCATCATAAATGGTGTACCAACAAGAGCAACGGATTTTGATTTTTTCGATAAAGTGATTTTTTTTAACAGTTGTCACGTACATAACATGCGATTTAAGAATATGGAGAAGTATTCAAGCAAACAACGTTTATTTATTGTAAAAACGCATTTCAAAAATGATGAAAGTTTCACGAAAACAGTTTGCGAATTACGTAAAGTTTTCAGTCGCAATAATGCGCCGAACGAATCGACAGTAATAACCAAACAATTCGTGTCGGAGCTAAGCCCTTTGAATGGATCGGACTGTCGTGTTCAGCAGATCCGCGATTTGGAGGGAAGATAACCCTTGTCCCTTCATTTGTGGAATCAGTTCCAACTGGTCGGGCGTTAGAATCGGCATCGAAACTATCAAAATCTGTTTATGATTCGAAAACGACGTCTAACCTGACTTGTCAGTCACTTACTGTGATTCTTGTAACGTTGGTTACGGGCCATGCATTACAGAGAAGAAATGATCTGATGTTTTTGCAAGAACATGTTTCAATTGTGTTTTCTCAAGCACATTCTTGAGTACTGAGAGCGAGAGAAATATGGACGCATCCAGAATGAATTGTTTTTCCGAGAACAAGTTGAATTTCATTCAATTCTCCTCCCAACCGAGATTCGGAGGGCGTTCCAGATTTGGGTCACTTTCAAGAAAACTCTAGATCTTTGATAGCCATCTTGAGTCAATTCTGATATCCAGATCTCTTCATCTGAAGTTTTATCTTCAAAATAAGCCTAAGATTTCCAAAATCGGTTGACGTGGAAAAAAGTTATGGCTGCAAAACCAAAAAGTCGATTTTTTGAGATCACTCTGTGAATAAGAGAGATAGGAAGTTGATTCGCGAAATATCTCGAGGTAATGAGATCATCTTCATGCCTCTGTTGTCGAAGTTCAGAAAACATTTTTTTCCACCATTTGAGAGCCTTTTGAATATTCCGAAATTTTGCACAGTGTCGGAAAACACCATGTAGAGATTTTATGTGAATACCCTTATGTTTCAATGAACTACCAGATTATAGCTGAAGGACTGGGCTATCGAACAGTGTGAACCAAATTCAAATTGTTCTAAACTGAAAAAAGTTATTCACATCATAACAGGGGCGACATTTTGGTGTGCGACGAAATTAGTGTTGAGTAGTTTATAATACTAGAATTATCGCTCAACTAAGGACATGCAGTAAGTCGTTCTTTAGAATTACCTTCAATCGAATAGTGTATAGAATAAATACTGAAGAAGAATGCACTGTTTGCAATCTCCACAGACCGGAATCTTTGGAACACATTCTCTTTGAATGTCCAGTTTATGCTGGTATCAGGGATTGTCGATTATTTCAAGACGTTGAATCTCTTGATGATTTAATATATCTTCTGAATTACGGTGGCCTAGCTGACTTGAAACTCCTAGTACAGGTTCTGATCAATTCGTTGAAGCTTAGATTTTTTGCTGTGAATGAGTAATTTGCATATCAATTATTGTTTCAATGCCTATCTAGGTCTCGCAGGAAGGATTTTTTGTTTCTGTTTTAGCTATTAGTTCTCATGTATTATCAATCACAGATCACCCAACCCTTGTAATAAGAATTGTAATTCTTTCAATACAATAAATCTATCTATCTATCTATCTATCTATCTATCTATGAGATTTTGCGTTTCAATTTCGTATGGGTGTATTTGAGCTATGCCTGAATCGAATGGGCTGGTCACTGTTTCGACAAAAAATTGCCTTATAGTCGCTATTGAAATTTTGACCCATCCAACAATCAAAAGTAGGCCTTGAAAATCTGAATAATTCATATTTGTCCACATCTTCGAATAGATCTCGTTGGGTACTATATTATGAAATATTTGTATCTGAAAGTCGGTCGACGGGTCCCAAATTAGGACGGTGTTGCGGGTTGAAATCGCACACACTGTATATTACATATACCTAAAAAATATCCACATTGACTTATATGGTTTCGGAAACTACAACATTCACAATCATTCAAAAAATTCATTCATAATGAATTATCATGATATTGGGTATTCCTGTTCGGTGCTGTTTTACCACTGAAGGTAATACCAGGAGTCTTTCAAATTGTAGTGATATTCTTTCAATTTTCCACAAGAGCTTGTTCGTCTGGAAAAGCTTCGAAATTCTTCGAAAGTATTCTTTGAAAGTATTTTCATGAACTTATTACCTCCAAAAATTCGAAAAAGAAACACCTACCTTCTCTTTCAATTCTTCCTTGGTATGCACGATGTTCCACGAACATTTTCAGCATTTTTTCTGGGCGCTTCGAGAGGAAGATATACAGGGTGTTTCATTAGTAATGGATCGAATGAAGTGGGGTGGAAGGGGTAAGGGGCGATTTCCAATCAAACTAACCGTACATGTGGTTATCCAATTGTTGATGGTTCAAAAATTATTAATGTTGTTTCATATCTATAAAAAGAATTGATTACAATAAAATTATGTCACATTTGTGATTTTTTCTTTCACAAATTCCATCCACATGAATGCACGTTTCTTCAGAAATCATTGCATGGCATATATCACTCCTTATATAAATCACCTGAGTGAAATGTTGTTTTCCTTGAGTTTTGTCATCGAATGGAATATTTAAGTGGATTTTCAAGTACTGCTGGCAGATTCAAGAACTATCCCACAAAGATAACCACTCATGAGGAAATGTTGTCCACTTAATACAGATTTCGAAATCGTATACCATATGGGGTTATCCAGAACAGCCTCTTTGTTATTAATTTTTCTCAAATGAGTTGCATTTTTCAGAAAAATTGAATAACTTTTGAACCATCAACAATTTGATGACAACATATTCCGTTAGTTTGATAACAAATGACCCCTCCTACCACCCCACTTAGTTTGATCCATTACTTCTGAGACACCCTGTATACTTATATTATGAGAAACCAATATTAAATTCTTATGAAACCGTTTACACGTTATTTCTCGAGAATGAAGAATTTTTTTTTAACTTTTATGAACTTAGGAAATGTTCTGTATAGAAGGATAGAAGCGGAAAGGAATTGTTTTTCTATCGTCAATCAACTCATACCAGGGTTTACTTTCGAATATTTTAATAGTGAAAATAGTTATCTCCCTCATTTTCATCGTCGTAATTCTGATTTTGATGTTCACAATACGCGTCCAAGCTCAGTTGACTGAGTTTTTCCTTACTTTCTTTGATCTGAATTTGCATGTTTTTTATATCTTCAGTCTTCAATACATGAATTTCCTCGCAAGCTCTCTTCCATTGCTCTTTGAAGTAACTTTTGGCGGTCTGAGCTTCTTCGAATTTGTGCTCTAAAAGTGCCAGCTCTTGCAAAATATTCGTTGTCTGAGTTTTCGTCAGAGAAGTCTTCTCGAATTGTGTCAGCTTCTGTCTTTGTTCCTCGCACATTTCTTTCAGCAATTGGTTGTCTCTCTGAGCTCTACTCAAAAGTTCGATCACTTCTCTGGTATTATCCTCTGAAAAAGTGTCCCAATTTTCCTTGAAAACGTCTTCATAAATCTGGGTATGGTTCCGGTTCCGCCTTATCGCTTTATCAACCTTCATGGAATTCATTTTGTTCATTAATTCATCCTGAAGCTTCTTGCATTTGTTGACAGTCATAGCAACCTGTTCTTCAAGCTTATTTTTCCTGTCCCGGAAATCTTTTTCAAGTCTCTCCAGTTCGGTTGTTTTGACATAATCCAGTTCATTTTCGAATCGGTCCTTCTCATTTTGTTTCCATTTTTCCAAGTCCCGGATCTCTTTGATCATTATAATCTCGTCTACAATGATTGGTAACAGATGCAAATGTTCGTAATCATCTGATTCGCTTACATCGATCATTTTCAATGCAACACTAACACCAACTTTTGCAATAGGATCTGTGTTTTGATATCTGGTCAAAGTGATTTCGTATCCTTTACTACGTTCCTCCAAACAATCCACATCCAAGTTATGGTCATTACAAAGGGAAATTTCCTTATCATCTGTAAGTATCAGCCGTGGTTTCCAGTATTTGAGTTGTTTCTCTATTTTATCAGGAGTTGACAAATAACTCACTTTTACATTGAGATTATTCAAAGTTATCTTCTTTCCTGCAGTGTTGCTGATTTCTGTAAGGATTGTAGTACAGCTAGCTGCTCTTGGATGCAAGAATTTGAACGAAATTTTCGTATTCTCCTGTGGAATTTTCCAAACTATGTGAGTCAAAGTGATTTCAAAAGTGAATCTTTGGTATGGATTCAAAGCTTCTGGTAATCTAGGTGATAAAGTGTCACTTTTTATGAAAGTTTCAATGGATTTCGTAACAGCGGTTTCTGGTTTCTCACACAGAACGAGTTCTTCTTCATACATGTCATCAGCACCTTCTCTTGGTGTGTCTTCAATGATTTGATCACTCTGCACATGTTTCGTGGGTCTTTGGGTAATGCTCGAAAAAATCGTTCTAGTTTTAGATCTCTCTTGAATATCATCTTCAGTTTCTTCGCATTCAACATTATCTTCAATCCAATGCTCTAGTTCTATACACGGTGACTTATCTGAACTTTCAAATGGGACGATGCCATTCGCAGAGGGGAATTTGAAAAAACTCCTGCTTTCAGTCACAGAAAATATATCTTCAACTTCAACGCTTGTGACGCCTAGTATATCATCGCCACGACAGAATATAATGCTTGTACTTTGTGTATCGAAATAACATCTCAACATCTCTTCACTAGACAACAAGTTGATCACTATTTTTTCGTTTAGGGTTATATCATTATGTAACTCTCTGCTGAACGGTTTGGTTTTGATGCTGATGCCAAAAATCTTGAAAGCCAGGTAATAATTCTGATCAGTTTTCTTAAATACTAGTACTTCTGGAAGAAGTGCGTCTAAGTTGACTACTTTTTTGACGAAGAGGTTGAAGGTGAAACTCGATTGACCAGTTCCTGCTTCTCCAATCTGGATGTGTCCATCCTCGAAATACTTTATAGGAAATTCAGAGCTAGTAGTTTCTTCAATTGTATTTACCTCTTCTGAAATATAAGGAATACCTTCATTTGATTTAGTAGCTCCAAGTTCGTTCAACGAGTGATCCTGCAGTGTAAGTGAGATATAAAGCTCTGGATGTCTCCTCTTCTTGTCGCTTTGACATCCTATCAACTTGTGCCATTGTGATTTAACTTCCTGGTTCATATTCTTCTGAGATATTATATGTGCGCTCCTGAGACTCAGCAGGGTGAAACCTACTCTTTCTCTCCTGTTATGTAAATCAATTGTGATGCATTCCACTCTGAGTGGAATGTTTGCACTTCTTATTTTGCGCAGTTCTTTCTTTTCTATTTCCCATACCAGTTCCGTGTTGAACGGTGGACAGTCTTCTGCAGGTATTCTGTCAGATTCTGCAAGATTTGGTAGTCAGTGGTGTTGCAAGTTGGAAGTTCTCAAAACTTACCCAATATTCTGTTATTGAAGGATCCAGTGATATGTACACTGTTCTTCAGGAAATCCATTCCTCTACCGCATTCCACCGATAGTACCACATTAACGTATTTGCCGCTCAGCTGATGCATATTCGATTAAATGATGTGGAAAATGGAATCCGATTCCAAGAAAGAAATTAGGTTGAATGAATGATTTTGTCAAAGTGACATGGAAATAATGAGAAATTTGACTCGTGTCAGTAAATGACAAATTGGAATGGTTGGAGATTTTCATTGGGATAAGGAGATCAGAGTGTACACAGAGTGATCTCAAAAACGTTGAAATATGTAAGATTATTGGAAGATTTCTGATAGTAGGAGAGTCGGCTACAGATTTCTTTCATCACCCAAATAACATTATCAGTTTTATTGTTAGCTACAGGAGGTTGTTACAGCCTATTTCAAAAGGCTTTTTCAAAACTATTATACTCATTAAAACAATTAAACAACCTTCTCAAAACATAAAGGGCCCACCTTTATAAATGCTGTTACAGCTTCTCTTAAAGCTTTAAAACTAATAGGAATTTATTGTAGTATCCTCAAAGCAATAATTAAACCTATCTAAACTACTTCCTTCAAAGCCTTTCAGCACGAGTTCAAACCTGTATGTTTTAAAACGGCAGTTCTTATGCCAACATCAAAACTTATTGGCTAGAATTAAAACCTTATCAGTCGCAGTAAGCATTTGTTAAGATAATATAGTCCGTAACGTGTTTCATGATAGTCTTTTTTCAGAACTAATTATAATACAAACATGTCAAAATGGAGAGAGAACAATAGATAGTTATGAAAGAGATTAAAGATGGCGGTATGATATGATAATTCCCTACTGTATCAAATAGTCCTTTTTGTGGAGATTGAGGCTGTAAAATGAAGACGATGACGACTTTTTTGACGAAAACATACCAGGTATGCTTCAAAAAAAGCAGCGCCCTAGAAATAATGTGTTTTCACCAGTTAGAATTGGGTGTGAATTTTATTAACTTTTCAAAAAAGTTTACAAAACTGTGTGAATGTTTGCTGAATAGGGGTGAGTCGTTTGAAAAATGTGGAAAAACAACATTTCCGACGGCAGTATCAATGCATCTTTTCTATTTTCCGCTTAAAATTTTCATTTCCATCAATGGCCGACATCTGTTTGTAGTAAATATGGCGCAAAATATACTTAAAACCAATTTTCTTTCTCTAATGCTTGATTAAAACCTTTAGGTAATGATAAGGCATTTTATGAGACGATTATTTCCTCCTGTTGAAGTACTTATTCCATATTCGAATCCATTCTTATGACTATTTGCTCCTGGGTATGACAACAAAGCTTCGAAAATGATAAAATTGATTTGAGAAGGTAATAAGATAATGCCTTCATAAAACTATAAAGCTTTAAGAATATCCTGGCTAGTGCTTATTGGCAGTGTTGCAAAGTGTAGAAGAACGTCATCAACATGATTAACATAACCCTACTTTTTTTGTTTACAGTGTTCACTTTGTGAATTTTGTGATTGGTTTGAAGTAGGAAACATAGACAAACTACACTCAGTGCAATTCGCCTGATATTGTGTTGATTGCTCCATTCTCTCAAATTCATGCTTTACTCGCCATCTGACATAATTTGTGCAAAACTGTTGTCAACTCCCTCGCTTCCTAGTTCCCATTCAGAAGCACGATGATCAGAAGTATTTTCCATTACGTTCTGACTCGTTGATGGTACTTCATGAACATCAGGTCCCAATGAATTCTTGCTATTTGGTGGATTCAGGTGGTATGAATTGAATGACGCAGTGTTTGGAATTGCTTGGGCTTGAGAATTCTGATTTACTGTTGTTCTCACGACTTGATTTTTGATTCTCAAGTAATTCTCTTAATTGTTTTGATTGAAGTGGCCATTCATTCTCTTAATTTCACACTATTCATTTTCTTGTGAGTCCATTTCAACGTGAGTCGTTTGTAGGCAAAAAAATTAGAACAATTATATTATGGGATTCGGGTTTAACACGGTTCTAAATAAAACTTCATAAATCCTATAGATTTTATGATTGACTTCGATGAATTCATTGTGGCTTATAGGTTTCAATAATTACTTCCACATAGCTAGAATAATGCCAATAGGTTTCATTATTGCCTCAGTCAAATCCTAATTGGCCTAGTGTAAATTTGGTTTTATGATTGCTTCAAGACGTATTTTCATAGGATTAGTTCAGAACCTCTTGGTCAAATTCTAGACACTAATGAAACTTAAGAGTTTTAAGAGGGTTGTTAAGAGTAAATAGTTTCGATGAAGAATTTCAATGACTCTCACAGAGCTCTCTTAAAACCGAAGTGAAATTGTTTTATGCGATAGTTCTATCATAGTATCTCGAAGCCTTTTAATAGGATTATATGGACATGAAGGCCAATATGCTTTTTCCAGGGCAATCATAAAACGGTAGAACAAATGAGACCTATCATTTGCGCTCACATAACCTCTTCAAAGTCTCATCGAAGATATTAGGCATTTGAAATGTTACTTGGGTATCTAATAACAAAATGATAATGTCTTGTGGAAATTCGTACTCGATTGTGCGATTTGATAACGAGAAGAGAATTATGCCATCCGATGCTAAATCCACGGCACAGCGATTTATTTGTTTCTATTATTCCGAACATACTTCCGTCATGTGATAACGAGTTGAGACAAGGAGGAAATGGAAGATCCAAACGTGCCGCAATTCAAACTGATCTAAGTTATTGGCAGAGCGTCAATATTTTCGTTAATATTCCGCCTTCGTCAAAAGATGATATCCGATGGACCAGTGCTCACACCAAAAATATTCTTATCTTCAGAGAGGGGCGAAATATCCCCGGAAGTATTGACGCTCTGCCACTAACTCAGATCAGTTTGAATCGCGGCACGTTTGGATATTCGCAAAGGCGACATCATCTCTTTTTATTTGCTCCTTTGTTGAACTTGTAATATCATGCCGAAAGTTTTTCCGGAATAGTAGCAGAAAATAAATCGCTGTGCGGTGGATTTGGCTCAGACTGCAGGGTGGCGCAGGCAATTTGTTGAAATCTAGCATCCAATCGGAATGGGTATGAATCTCATCTCGTTATCAAATCGTGGAATCTAGTGCAGATTTCCGCACAGGAAAGGGCAATTTTTCAATCCTTTTGCTGAGGATAGTGATTAGCACAGGTGCAGTCCGATAAAATACAATGGTTTTACTTGCCTTTCGGACATATTACTCACTCAACTGGAAACAATTCATCAGAACTCAAGTGCAGTAAATGCAGGATGTTTCAAAATTCAGTATCAAGATTTCTGGGGCTCATTCTACAGGAAATAAGACGATTCGGTACCGATCTATAGAGCGTTAAATCGTTATTTATTATACCAGGGAAAAATCAGTAGATTGTAGCTCGAGGTTGCAGTTTTCAATAGGAATTACACCGGCTATCTTTTTACAGACATCTTCGTCATTTTTCTGAACTAATCAAATATATGTCACACTACACTGTTTTACCACTAACTGAAACGATTTTTCAAACGCCTCGACACGTGTCCCACTAAGCAAAGTAATATCTCAACAATATTGCAGCAATATTTCAATGTTATGTGTAATGTTACATCAGATATTGTCGCTATCTTACTGCAAGGTCGCAGCAACTACTGAAACGGACGTTCAGCAATATGTAATGTCCTGTCTTCAATTAGATCGTAGTTCGAGTTATCGAAACATGTTCAGGAGTGCAGGGAAGAACAGCAGAAGATAGTTCACTGGTTTATTAAAGAATAGTTATTAATTCTTTCAGAGTTCAAACCGGAATGTTCTCTGTAACTACAATACCTAATTGATAACCTACCTATTACTATAAACAATAAATTGATGAATAATCTAACTATCGTAACACTTTCGGAAAAGCTGTGTTGGACTGTTTCGAAATGGTACCTGATTTCAATGACATAATTAAACAATATATTATAAACATCCACTACACCTTCCCCGAGAGAAAAAGAAAAATGTTTTACTTCCTAAAATATTTTTCTACTTAGCTATGGTAACATAATTTACATATTTTACTCAAAATATTGTTTTACCCTATTTTTATGTATAACTACAGATTTTTCATTAATTTTTACAACAACATTTGGACCTTTGTCCTCTAATATTAAAAATGGACCATTGTATAAAGATTCCATTTTACTTGACTTTCCATCATTTTCTACTAAAACTAAGTCTCCTATACTGTATGTTACATTTTTACAATTATTTTTGTCGTATTCGCATTTGCGTTTGTTTTTTGATACCAATAAGTTATTACGTGCGTCCTCCCATGCTGTTTGTAATCGAAATTTAAGTTCCTTCGGGTAATCATCGAAATTATATAAAGGTTCTACGTGATTGATAATTCTAGAAGGAATTTTGGTTGATTTTCCGAAAACAAGTTCATGTGGTGTATAATGTGTTGAAGAATGAACTGTGTTATTATAGGAGAAGCACCAATATGGAACCCAAGAGCTCCAATTATTGTTTCCTTTTGATACTTGCATACGAAGATATGCTCCCAAATGTTTATGTGTATTTTCAAGGGCTCCCAATGTTTGATGATGGTATGCAGTAGAATTCAATTGTTCAATATTCAATAGTTTACAAGCTTCTTTGAACGTGTTTGACAAGAATTCGGTTCCTTGATCTGTAACACAAGATTCAGGAATTCCATATCGTAAAATGAAATTTTCTACGAAAGATTTCGCTACTGTTGAAGCCTCTTTATCACGTATAGGATATGCCTCTACGAATTTAGTAAGATCACATTGGAGTGTTAGAATGTATTTATTTTGCTCTATATCAACCGGAAGTGGGCCTACTAAATCGAGAAATACTTTTTGGAAAGCAGAAGTAGCTGTTGTGGTTATTGTCAATGGCTCCTTATTCGTCTTTGAATACTTGTATCTTTGGCAATCGTCACATCTTTTGACAAAAGATTCAACATCTTTTTTCAAGCACGGCCAAAAATAAAACCTCTTGAAGTTATTATACATGCGGTTTACACCTGCATGTCCTCCCGTTGGCAATGTATGAAAATCGTTCATGACTAACTGTCGCAGTTCTTTATCATCTACCTTTTGTTTATCTTTAATAATAGAAATTTTCAGTTTCTTATTCAATACTTGATTTTTATCATTTCTCAGTTCCTTC